AAACACTCAACTTAAGTAAAAAGGGGAAAAATTAAGATAAACAACAACAAAATTGAGCTCCAACTGGCCTAGTAAATCTTATGAGGTGAACAAAGTACAGTCAAGGGAGCGCTCAGGCTGGAGTGGAAGATCTCCAAGCCCCAGTTCTAAAAGGCCTTCCTCAAAGTAATCTGCAAACGTCTGCACTTGAAAGAGTCTCCCCAAATCTATTACAGAATGAAACTGTTTGTCTCCATAAAACTCTCTGTGACTTCTGCACTGCAATCACATGCGACATTTACAAAGGGTGGGACCCAAGGGGGAACATCACTGTTTTCTGAAACTACGAGACTGGCACGTAGGTTTTCCACGAGTGAAGCGACAAGAGGCTAAGGAGAGACAAAGGCAAGGTGCCCCAGTGGCTAACTTGCTGCTGGGGATGCAGGGCAGTTTAAGGCCCCAGTGATGCGGGTTTTGGCAATTCTGACAGACGCTGTCCGCAGGCTGCCTGCCCTTGGCAGAAGACTCTTCAAGGGGGTTCCAGGTTTCTACTAAATTCTGGCATCTTCTGACAGCAGGAATAGCCTGCGGGTGATGTGTTTTCTTAGAAAGTAGAGGGCTTTCTAACAATCTGAGCCTTCTGAAAATGGAATGCATCCTTGGGAGATTGAGTTCCCTGCCTCTGGACGGTGTCCACTGGATGCTGCTGACCAACTGGCTAGGACTCCCCAGAAGGGACACAGGCCCTGGGAGAGGAAGGGTTGGATGACTCCTAGAATCTTGTCCAGTGGAAGGATCTAAGGAAATGAAGGGGAAAAGGAAAAAACAAAAACAAAAACAAACCAAAAAATCTCTTGTCTCAAAGCGTGCAATCATTTCGGGGCCTAAACAAATATAGGTTCTTAAAGTTATCTCACCTTCCAGAAAGACACAGCCGTATGTTCTCATCTGCTTTCACAGAGCACATATAAACAGCATCTGCACTCCCGCTGTAACAAATACCATGCATTCAAAGTTTGGGCAGGAACTCTGGCATAGGCTTCCTGTCCACGGCAACCCTTCAGCAAACAGCAAGCTAGAGCACAGCTTTCGCAGTGTAAATACTTTAGGATGCAATCTTTGCATCTGCTAGAATTAGGTGACCTGTTCATAGGCAAAAAAAGAAACTATAAATCTGGCCAAGCCTGTCACAAGGTGAAAATCCACATGGAACACTGTCAGCGTAGATTCAGTATCGGTGTCAGCCTCAACAACAACCAAAAAGGACGGGACCAGCGGGACAGCGCGGAGCAGACCTCCGACTACAGGTGCAGGAACGCGATGCCCCTTTGTTCTGGTTTCCGTATCACAAACTCATGGCAGTCCGCACTTCTCCTTCACGGCACTGTGTGGTAGTAATTACATGAGCCAATTACTAGTTCTGTTGTTACTATGTGTTTTAACAGTAGAAATTCCAGAAAGGCAAAGCCCTCACTATATCCTCAGTGTCTCCCACCTTTGCATAACAGATGTGGGGAGAAAAAAGAAAAAAAAAAAAAACAAAACAAAGAAACTGTGTTTACTGAGTGAAAGAGTAGTTAGCCACAAGTATAACGGAAGTGGTATCTGAGACTCTCAAGGACAAAGATGCGAGGAACAAGAGTGCTGAGTCTGTAACCCAATGTCACCGCCTCGGGAATCCGACACTGCCAAACGATAGTATAACGAGCACATTACAGGACCTAACAAATCCACTTCCACGCATACCTCCAAGAGAAATCTGCATCACGTACACGTTTTACGTAAAGCTGTTCATAGCAGCATTGTCCATAATTGCCTCAAACAGAAAGCAACCAAATACTCATGAACAGTAGATTAGTAAACCATGGTTTATGCATGCAATGTAACATTATATAGCAATGATAATGAATGAACTACAGCGTCATTCAACAGCACAAAAGAACCTCATGAGACATACTGAACTAAAGAGACCAGGACCCAAAGGGGTAGATGGCCATTCACATAAATACCAAAAACAAGCCAAACTGAGCTACAGATTTTAGAGATGCTATAATATGTAATGAGTTCTAACAAACATTCAGCCGGGTGTTGTGATCAGAGAGATCAACATGTATACAAACTCTTCCAAATAAAAGCTTATTTTATAATGATGGTAACTCCAAAAGCAAACCAGTATACTATGAGAAGGAAAAGTTCAAGTCAATCTTCTTACTACAACTGCAAAAACTCTAAAACAAAGTTTCAGACCTCAAAGCGCAACAATGTACATACAAGACCAAGGTTGGTTTATTACAAAATACAAGACAGGGTCAGAATCCAAAAATCCATTAATGTAACTTATACCACTCTAGAAACAATCTGGCATTCTTAGGACGTATATTCTATGACCTAGCAACTCTGCCCCATGGAACACCCCAGGAAGACTGCCCATGTGTATTAGCAATTTCTACAAAGCCAAAACTATGAGGCACATCATAGAAAAACGGAAAATAAACTATGGCATATTCCTGCAATAGTATACTACACAATGATAAACACGAATGAACAGTGATTAACTCTGGGGTAATGGGTGAAAATAAGAAAAAGTTAAACTGCAAAGAAGCATTCAGTCAGTTTCAGGAATATTAATAAGATTCCACGTCCCAACCTGGGTATTAAGTATATGGGTATTTCTTTATTCCCTAAGATCCTGCAGAAATCTTTTTTTTTTTTTTCCCTGTCTTTTTGAGATAGGCTTTCGCTATGCAGTTCAGGCTGGCCTTGAGCTCACTCTGTAGCCCAGGCTGGCCTTAAACTCACAGCGATCCTCCTGCCTCAGCCTCCCAAGGGCTGGGGTAACAGGTGTGCACCACGCCCAGCTGCACTCCTTCTTATATACATCTTCTGATGCACATAGGCATTTTGCTGCACATGTTAAATAACATGAGGGTATTTCCACAATGTGGCAAATTCTACAACAACAAACAATCTGATTCTTCAACAGTTTAACTGCAAAGGGGAAAAAGGTGAGGATAAACTCTAGATTAGGACACATACTGACCAAACGCAACGTATGGACCATATTTAGGTCAAGAGGTGAATTCTTTTTTATGCTAAAAGCATGACACTATCAGAGAAACTTGAACACTGAGTGAAAGATGATGGAGAGGAATCATTTCTAGGTGTGATATGGTATCATACTTTTAGGAAATACTTCTGACCTTTTAGAGAGAATATAAATAATGAAGAAATTACAAATCAAATGTTTTCTGGAATTTGCAAAAAAAAACCAGTTTGATGAGGGGGAGGAGCAGGAAAGGAGATCAAGATGGATCAGAGGGTAAGCAATCACTGATTTTGAATATTTGTTACACTGTTCTCTCTACTTCGGTACGCCCTTGAATTTTACTGGAATAAAGTACAAAAAGACAGAGAGGCAGCGAGAGAAGGGGAAGGAGGAGGGAAGATCTCTAGGAAACAAGTGCGTGCAGGAAGTGCTCTGGCCAGTTATACTCTGAAACATTCAAACGGTAACCTCTGATCTAATGGCTCACAGGTCTAGAAAATGTTACAGATTCATCACCTCTCAACGGGAGGAGTACTTATAATTCGTACTCCTTGTGCTTAGTTATGTTTTCTAACTGTTTCCACTAGAAACATATCAGGACACTGGTGCAAATGCTGTGCTAAAGGACACTGTAAAGATTGCCAAAGACAAAAAGTCTCCTGCTATATATATTATATATACTATATCAACCCGCATCGCTTCCCCATTTCCGAGCTACAACTTGCAAAAGGCCACATTTCCGTGTCCTCCCAAACTTTAAGCTGAAACCCCTACTCCCTAATGTAGTACTGCTTGGAGACGGGGCCTGGGGACGGGCCGGTGCCTCTGTAAGAAGCAGTGTGACCAAGCGTGCGCTCTCTCCATCACTGGAGGACCCGCGAGACGCCAGGAGGGAGCCCTCACCAGAGTCAACCACGCTGCCACCCCCGGCTCCAGCCTCCAGAACTGTGAGAAATACACTTCTGTCCCTGAAGCCACCGAAACACACAGGCCCTTAGCAGAAGCTCACCAGAAAAATACACGCTCACTCAGAACTTTTCATGTAACAAGGAACTCCGGGACTTCTCGCGAACCCACAGTCTACGCCGTTAGTAGTTGTAACAAATAAGAAGCTGCCATTTATTGCGTATTTCCTATGTGCCAAGCACAGCTCTCAGTCCTTTACAAATAGATGCTGGCTCATTTAACCCTCCCCGCAACCCATGAGACGGATGCTCTCATCACCCGTTACAGATGATGGTGACGAGCAGGAAGGGAGTAATTTACACGTTACACAGGGTCCGGTAGCTCCTGAAGTCCAGGGCCACCATACCAACTCAGACAACCTAGATCCAGAGCTGGGCTCTGACCCAGCAAAAATGACGCTGTGCACAGTTTAAATTAAATATGGCGAGCAAACATGACATCCTACACTATGCCCTGCAGTAGATGCTTCAGATTCAACCAACATTAGGTGCCCACCACGTGCCAAACCCTTCCAGCGCAGGGGCTCCCCCAACCCTGAGACGCACTGCGAGCGACTCGCCGTGTCTGTCCAGCTCACCTGGGGACAGCGGGGCCGACCCTCTTCTGACCTCAAGCTCACTCTACCAAAGCCGATTCCCCTAAGTGCCAGCAGTGGTCTGCCCCAAACCACCTCTGATTCTCTCATGGCCAAAATCTCTTCAGAAGTAAGGTTTGATAGCGCTAGTTCAAGGGTTTAATTTTTAAACCCTAAAACTGGCTCCCAATGCAAAGCCATCCAGCATTTCAGGACCGCTCTCCTCAGCGCCGTGCTTTGGCCGACACGCCGTGGAAGAAGACACGCTTCCAAAAACCTGCCCCTGAGTTTCGCTGCATGAAAAGGATTCACGAAGCAGGACTGGCCACACATACCGAGGGCAGCTGGTAAGTGCTGTAACCCCGCGCCACACTCACACACCACACGGCCCGCCTAACTGTGCTAAGCAAGTTACACGGAGTCCTCGACACTCACAGTTTCACAGTTCAGGCATCTGGTTTCATTGGTGAGCGTTCCCTGAAAAATCTCATGGACCCAGGTGAGTTCTGGTTTATTATTCTCCGCAGGCTCATTCATGTTGCCATTTTTTAATTTTCCATTTTGCTTTTCTTGTTTCTTCTCTTCCTGCAGTATGTCCGCAATAGTGTTTAGCAAATAATTTAAAAATTCGTGAGCGTCCTGCTGCATGTAGTTATCAAAGAGATCTGGAAAGGAGAAGGTCATTATTTCAATCTCTAATTCTTAAAATGCAAACAGACATGCCTCGTCTTACATGCCACGCTTGAAGTTTTTACACTGCAAGGGTGGACACAGAATATAAAGAAATCCATCTCTTCTGTGCAGCTTCCACAGGGAAGTTTCTACGTGTTTCCATCTCCTACACCTACCAGTTTCCCTATCTTCCTACGTCCCACACATGAAAACTGACTCATTTTATTTGTTGTAGAGAACAGAAATCACCTGAAAAGATCCCTGACGAAATACCAATATTTAATATGATGTTACTACTGATGACCAATGAATCACTGCATAATACTATATCCAGAGCAGCTGAAATCTCTTCCCCCAAAATCGTATTGAAGCTTGGGCCAGCCTGAAACAGCCTAACTGAAACCCATGAAGGAGATGAAGAGTGCGTGGGAGGGTGAGCCTGCTGGTGTTCTGAAACCAACTGCAAATGACCCCAGAAGCCTGCGGCCGCCGCCTGCTGGCCAGGACAATCGGATCGGGATGAGGGCAGCTGTGAAACCCGTTACTGATCACATTCACAGCTGGGCTAGGAGTGCTCCACCTTTTCCTCCACTCGACTTACTTTTATTCTAGTATGAATAAACTGCAACAACTTTAAACGACAGCACTCTCACTACACCAGACTGCAAAACAAACATCTAATTAGCATGCAAGTATGTTGGAGTAAGGTGAAATGTGGGAAAAACACAAGTTACCACTTCAAGTATTTCCACAGTCAGAAAAAATTCCAGTATAAAACTTCTGGAATACACAGCTTGTTTCTACCACCAGTTCCCCCAAAAAAACAGAAGACAAAAAAATTTTCAAAACTTGCGTGACAGCAGGCTATTTTTATCATACAAAGATTATCAATTTGATATCCTTCAATCATCCTGGCAAATAAAATCAGATCTATTATTTTTACAATAGTAGAGGACCTGATCAGGTAATACGCACTTACTCTAATCACTTATGACAAGTTCATAAGAGGGTACTATTTCATTCAGTTATTATATCAGCCCATCTAATCCGACGAATGCGCCCCGGAGGAGGCTGCCTTGGGCAATTTTTTCTCTTACAATGATCCTACCAAGAATAGAGTTTAAAAAAATTTCCAAAAGATGAGATGCTACATCTGAATTTTAAAGCGTATCTCTAATCCACTTTTGCTTAATGTATAATGGATGGAGAAAAACAAACATCTTTTCTTTAAAAATGACACCTGAGCGCTGCCTACACTTCTTTTTCTTCTTTAAAGAGGCTTCTCGTTTTGAGGACACACAGAAACGTCAGTTTCCCTTATTTCAGGGCCTTAGAACCGTGGCATTCCACAGCACTCACCGTTCTCTTTTCTCAGCCTCGAAATGAACTTCTTTGGTGGGATGACGCCAACCTTCTTCTTCTGCGTGGCGATGCTGTGGAAAAGGTCTGCCAGGCACGTCAGCAGGTTTTCCTTCTTTTTTTGCTGGGCCTTGTATGCCAGCACGTTCTCACGGAACGGCCGGCAGAAATACAGCGCCTGAAGCACGGAGTTGCAGTAGCACGTGTTCCCAAACTGCCAGAGGACAAGAGGGTGGCTCAGACCCCGCCAGGGACAGGCCGCCTCTGGAAGGCGAGGGCAGAGGAGGAGGCCAGGCCCCAGGAGTCCGCCCAGCCTGCCCTGCTCGGAGGCCAGCTCCCCGTCTTGGACACGGATTAAGCACCCTGAACACCGGTGACTGCCGACTGGCAGGACACAGACGAACGCGCACAGCCGCGCCTCCTTACCTGGTGCCAGCGTCACACCGGAGTTACCCGTCACCAACCACAGGCTGAGAAAGCTCAACGGACAGTGACAGAGAGAAACAGCTCCTAAGTCCTCCTGCGCACCACCGCGAGGAGCGCGCAACCTCACTCAGCCCGCCTGGGCCGGAAGCCCGCGCCCGCAGCGCGCCCGCCGCCACTCCGCAGCCCCCGCTGCCAGGCCAGGCGCAGCGTCACAGCGCGAGGGACTCTTACTTTACCTCACAGTGCCTGGCAGTGACACTGATCCTCTTATTACAGTAAACTGTTTAACTGTTCTATTTTATTTACACATGTTATTTTATTAACCCCTTCTTGTGCCTAACATGTAACTTAAACTTTATCGTGTTTGTGTATGTACACGCAGAAACAGTACATATGGGGCTCCTCATTATTCATGTCTTAGGAGTCCCCTAGGGATCCTGGACTGTATCCCCCACACGTGAGGAAAACCTGCTCTACACGATTCTGGTGCTTCTCTCACCCATACAAGTCTCCATAAAGTGGCAGTAGGGATTCTGTCTAGGTAAGGCATCGAATAACACCATCTGGTGCTTAGAAAAAAAGGAAGAAAGAAACCTCTTTATTTGAAGACCCAGTAAGTAGCTGGTTAAATAAAAGATCCTGCTTTCTAGCACCAGCCCCAACAGACAAACTGAAACTCCAAATCAAAAAGAAACTGAGGAGCTAGGAACCACTCGCACAGCTCAGTCAGCCTTAACCACATGTGGGCTTGGTCTTCTTTCAGGATGCCAGGGTCCCTGCCTGCGGGACACACGCCCCCCACTCCACAGTGAGGAGCGGAGTGTTCTCAAGCCAGCTGCCATCTCTGCTTCTACATCACCCGCCCTCCCGTTCTTCCAAGGCAGCACACGTCCCGGTCCAGTGCAACCCAAGTCCCGGGCTCCCGCGATCCAACTAGAGTCACCACAGCAGTATTTCATACCTCTCGTTTTCATGGACTCTAAGATTATGATGACAGAAGGGAAAAGCATATCCCACTGGGGTCCAAGCGACTATTAGACCGACTCTGAGACCGTCACTTGAGAATGGCTCCCACACAGTTTAATGGACAGGAAATGCCCTAAGGGAATGCAAGACCCCGGCACAGACTACCAAGTGCTGCAGGAGATTAACACAGGACGTGAGCACATTCTCAGAACCGGTGTGGGCTTGTGTGGCTACCCAAGTGAGATGGAGGTTCTTCCACACTCACATGTCTACTTCTGCTGAGCTAGGAAATGTCCTATTTTTATATATTTTAATCTGACACAATTATGTAATAGGAGACAAATCTTGTTCCAGAAAAGTTGGAACTTTCATAAATTGCCATTTTAAGGATCATAAATTAAATTATTAATAAATGCAGATCTCAGAATTCTTCCACAAACTAAAAAATGGCCTTTACTCTTGCTCTCTTCAGTCTCCCATGACTTGAGTAACTGTCCTGAGAGCCGAGCAGAGGCCTGTGCGCAGCGGATTTAAAAGTGGTGCTGAAATCAGAAGTCAGCATTTTGCCAGCGTACTCTCCCCAGGCCCGAGCTTTACCCAGCCTTTCTCTTCCACCCGGCGTCTCACCTCCACCCAGATGCCTTCCTAACGCTTGGCCCTGACCCAGGGCACAGCCCCTGGGGAGGCAAGGAGCCACAGCACACCTCGCTGCACAGCGGCCCCCAGGGGAGCTTTCATCCGTCTTCCACCGTCACCTAGAGCAGTGGCGGCGAACCTCGGGCACGCGTGCCACAGCTGGCTGTTTGTTATCACTGAAAGCTCTAAAAGGTTTGCCATCGCTGCCCGAGGAGGTAGAAACCATCGCAATCCCATTTTACAGACTGCAAACTGAAAGCTCAGAGACGTGGGTAACTTGCCTCAGAACACAGTTAGAGAATAGCAGAGGCAGAAGTCCAGTGCAGGTCTATACGGCCCTAAGGCCAGTGCTCGCTCTTTATCTCCCAGGCAGCAATTAGCTGCAGAGTCTTTCTAGTTTCTCCTACTACTTATCATGCCAGGGCACTGGCAGACATGTGTAGAGCAGTCAGTTGCTCCAGGAAGTCATGCGTTTATAAGCTAACACTTGATAACTTGTTTATAAGACTTCCACCCCAGAGAGAAAGTATCAGTAAGAAAGAAAGCTCAGGAAGGGTGCCTAACACTGCCATACGACCTGGCCATCATCGACTACCAAAGAAAAAGAATCTCTAAGTCTGGCCAGATACAAGGAGACTACTGCCGAGCACAAGTAAAATGAGGCTATGTAATTATGGGATAAACCGGTCCTAGCTTTTCCCCTACAGCCTCTCCCTGTTTCAGGTAGGTACCCTACCAAGTTACACCCATGATGAGCCCGTAACACTTTTCTTTTTTGTCTTTTTGAGACAGGGTCTCACTATGCCGTTCAGGCTGGCCTTGAGCTCACTTTGTAGCCCAGGTTGGTCTCAAACTCGCAACGATCCTCCCGCCTCAGCCTCCCAAGTGCTAGGATTACAGGCGTGCGCCACCACACCCGGCGTTTGGGGGGGTGTGATGGGGGGTCCTTGGTCTTACAACACTTTTTTGGGGGGTTGGGTACAGGGAATCAAACTCAGGACCTTGCGCTTGCCAGGCAGGTACTGCTGGTAACACTTAAAACTGGCTGTACTGAAGCTCACCAAAACAGGGACTGGCTGCAGAGTTCAGCCGGATGACAGGAGGAGGATGTACAAAGGCAATTTTGCTACAAAAGCTAATAAAATCCTCACAAAAGTCACATGTCCAAAGGAAACCCCTCAAAGCGTGGGGAGGTGAAGGTGTGAATTTGATCCAATAATGTAGTAATTAAATTCTTTTCTTCGGGGACAACTAATACTTTCAAAAATAGATTAAAATGCTCCCTCTTCAACATTTTGCTTCTTCTTTGTCTAAAGCATTTAAAAATTGCTAATGATGAAAATGGTAGGGGAGTTGCATCAAATATTCTAAAATGTTTGATAAAATAGTGCATTTTAAATACTTACATTGACCAATCCGAAGTAGTGTTCATTGATCGGAAACTGCTCTGGACCAATGTCTTTTTCCAGAGCAGAGGCATTGGTGCCCTAAAAGAGAAAAATAACACAAGTTCCACTGCATGTCAAGTTGACAAGAAAATGAAAGCATACTTAAGCTGCACACTTCGAAATGAGCACCTACTCCGGGTGACCAGGTGCTGGCGACACTCGCCGACAGAAAAGGCACGAGAAGCGAACCATTAGGTTAGTTAATAATCCCATCCCTATTTTTCCCCTCATCCAACTTATTCCTCTCCTCAACCCTTCCTTCAATCATCCTCCCTTAGGAAAGCAAGGTTGAGAGAGGCAAGTGAGCAAACTATCACCAAGAACTTCTGAATAAAATATCATCATCACAGACAATTAGAGCAGCTATAACAACCAAGGCACTGACCGGGCGTGGTGGCGCATGCCTGTAATCCCAGCACTCAGGAGGCTGAGGCAGGAGGATCATTGTGAGTTCGAGACCAGCCTGAGCTACAAAGTGAACTCAATGCCAGCCTGAACTGCATAGCAAGACCTTGTCTCAAAACAGGACCAAAAAAAACCAAAAAAAAAGCAAGGCACAGGGCAGTATACTATCTTTTTTTTTTTTTTTGTCTTTTTGAGACAGAGTCTCACTATGCAGTTCAGGCTGGCCTTGAGGTTACTTTGTAGCCCAGGTTGGTCTCAAACTCACAAAGATCCTCCTGCCTCAGCCTCCCAAGTGCTGGGATTGCTGGCACGCACCACCATGTCCGGCACAGAGAGCAGTATATTATCATTTCCAGGGTTAATTTCTTCATTCTGGTAAGGATTTATTGTGCATCCAATGAGCAAAACTCTGCTCTCTAGGTCCAGGCATTGATAAGAGAACAGGGAACAAAACAGGAAAGGGTTCCTGCTTCCGTGGAGTTTCCATTTTGCAAATGAAGACAGCCTGGAACACAAAGCAAATACACTGAACAGTGTAGTACGTGGTAATAAGTAGAGAAAAATAGAGCAAGAAAAGGGGATGGGGACAAGAGGACGTATGTGTGGAGGACAGACCTACAGGTGGTGGGGGTAGCTGCACCTTCAGGAGACCGATCAAGAAAGGCAGGTCTGACTTACTGCTCAAAAAGGAACGTTACAAACAATGGAGAAACTAAATCTGAAACAGTTCTCAGATGCATCGAACTAGTAACACAGCCACAGACAGTCCAGCGTGACAATTTTAAGACTACTAGGTACCCTTGCTACGTACCAAGGATGGGGCAGCTTACTATTATGATTCCCATTTAACAGATAAGGTATTTAAAGCTCGCCGAAGCAAAGACTGGCAGCAGAGTTCACCCAGATGACAAAAGGAGGATGTCTCAAAAAGTCAAAAAGAAAGAAAGAAAGAAAGAAAGAAAGAAAGAAAGAAAGAAAGAAAGAAAGAGAAAGAAAGAAAGAAAGAAAGAAAGAAAGAAAGAAAGAAAGAAAGAAAGAAAGAAAAAAAGAAAGAAAGGAGAAAATCTGTCCCAGTTCACAGTGAGTTAAGGGACTGAGCTAAGAGTTGCATTCAGGAATCAGGCTAAGAAGCCATGTTCTTAATCAAATGCTACACAGAACAACCCTAACACTAACCCCACTGAACGCCAGTGACCGATGACGAGTTCTCATTACCACCCTGGGCCTGAATACACCTGCCAGGGTTAGGAAGAGTGACTGAAGTTCGGTGCAGTAAAGCAGGCGACAGTCAACCGTCATTATCCACGGGGAAACTAATTCCAGGACCCCCTGGACATCTTCAAGCCCCTTACATAAAACGTGTGCTGTCTGCATGTACCCTGCCATGTTAGTCACCTTCCACATGCTATGACAAAATACCTGAGCTAAACGGTTTATAAGGAGGAAAGATTTATTTTGGCTTATGATTTCCACCCATGGTCCCTTGGCCCCCCTGCTGTGGGCAAAGCAGAGCATCATGGCTGGGATCGACAGGGAAGAAAGCCACCATCTCCTCACAGCAGGCAGGAGTAAGAGAGAGAAGGGCCCCAACGTCCCCTTGAGAAACATGCCCCAGTGACCCATTTCCTCCCACAGCCCCCACCGCTAGCACCAGCGGCTGAGGACGGGCCTTAGGACAGGAGCCTTCCGGGGACAGGCAGGTCCAGATCACAGCCTACAGACACCGCTGTGCGCTCAGAGCGCCAAACACAACGCCAGTGCTGTGCAAACAGCTGTTAGGACGCTCTGCTTAGAGAGCGGGAAGTCTGTGTGTCCGGTGCAGACTCAGTTTTCTTCCTGCGCCTAGTATCTCCGCTCTGTGCAGGCTCGTGCGCACAGCGGGCCGAGGGCAGGGCAGGCAGGGCAAGATCCGACGCCTGCGCTCTGCCGTCCGCCTGTCCCCTTCTCACACTCCCAGCCCGTCACGGAAGAGCCGCAGCTCCCAGAAATGCAGACTGCGAAGACAGATGTAAGTCAAGGAGACTTCCTAAGAAGCAGTCTGCCACTATTACTTGTTCTTGATTTGTAACTGGCATCTCCTCTCTCACAGGAAGCAACGGCCAAACAGCAGGCTGAGAGCAAGTCAGAACAGCCCCTCGTCACCAGGCAGACATCCCATGCAAAATAACCCAAGTCTAAGCAAACAACACAACAGAAATGACAACAAATGCCTTTATCATCACATCTTCCGTTTCCCCTTCTGTTGGGCTTTAGATTTAAAATGATCCCGCTGCCCCGCGTCTGGAGGGTGAAGGGTTGCGGGGTGCCCTCACTGACCTGCGGCTGGGAGGTGGGGTCCAGGAAGAGGCGGGTTACGGGACGGGGTTGAGAAGGGGCGTCTCCCTCCCGGGCTCCCCTCCTTCTCTGCTTCCCTGCACCAAGGGGTGAGCGGCCTTCCTCTGCCCCGCCGTCTGCCCCGCTGCTCTGGAGCCAGCCGAGCATGGGCTGAGACCTCTGCCACTGTGAGGCAAAACCGACCTCCCTCCCCGTAGTCAGAGGCTGAGACATCTTGTTGTCTAGATCTTTTACACCATCTCACCGATCTAAATTCCTTTCCTCATCTGAAGAGTGTGTGTGTGTGAGACAAGAAGTCATGCCTTCACAATCGTGTACCTACATTTACAAGGCTGAACTTTTGCAATTATGGCAGGATTTTATAGTATAGACAAAAATTACTACACATTTTCAATAAAGTTACATCTCAATCATAAATCAATGTAAACGACGTGCATCAAAAGTACCCATAGCTATTTTTCAAGAAAAATTAGAATCTATGGCATAGAGCCCAGGAAAAAAATGCTAAATATAAAACTACAGCACTTGGAGATAGATCTTATTAAATCTCTTTATAAAAAAAAGCAATATATTCAAGTTGACCCATAATTTTGCTAGCTGGAAAGTCTTAGATGGAGTCTGTCTCCTCTCCTGTCTTACTCCTCTCGCCTTTGCAGAGGGGGAGGCTGGGGAAGGAGCGGGCTGCAGAGTCACCGAGGCAGGCCTGGGCAGCACCCCTCTCGGCAGGATGGTGGGGCAGCACCCACAGCCGGCCGACGAGGGCACAGGGCGTGAGCTAGGTCCTGTGTGAAACCTGGCTCTGCTCTGAGGCCAGCCCTTGCTCTGCCACAGTTCAGGGCACGCTTGCCCCATCTCTTGCACAACACACAGGGCGCTGCGGAAGGCTCGGAGGAGGAGCCGGCCGACTGGTGATGCTAATCCCCAAGGGTTACGCCTCCACCTTTCGTCGGCACCTCCCCGTTTCTGAGGCCCCGACTCCCGCCGGTGTACAAACTCCCCAGTTCTTCTCACCGAGGCTCACCCTCCACCCCACTCCTGCCAAAGTCCTAGACGGTTCCAACATCCACGCGGATGGGCCATGTCACCGTGCCTCTGTGCAACGCGATGTCCTGCGTCCCAAGTACCTTTTGCTCCACGCCACACCAGGCCCCTCTCCCCAAGCTGCACCCGGACCAGGCTGCCACCTGACACTCCAGTCCAGCTGCCACCACCCACCAATGGCACCCCACCCACTGCTTCAGTAGCCATCCTAGTCACATTCACGCCTCACGGGAACGTTCATCTGTCGGTGAGGATTTCTAGGTCCCACTTACCCCGTCCTTTAACCATGACACCAGGCCAAAAATTTTTTGAAGGATGAACTAAAGTATCTACATCCTTCGAATGTACAAAACCAGACAAATGTGCAGTAGTAAAAGGAGAAAGCCGAACAACCACTCACTGGGTTCTCTGGAATTCACCCGATGCCAGTGGCCCTCACCATGACCCATGCTTTAACAGTGGCCGAACGCGCTGGTGTACCACTCCACGGCGACTATTCCCACCTTCCCCCAAGAGCCTTGGAGCCTTGGCGGCCCCTCCATCCCGCTCACACTGCCTCTCCCTCTCAAAAAGCAAACAGTCAATGTTTAACAGCAGCCGGGGATTCCCGTAACCTGTCACTCACAAACCTACATGCTTCTCTCTCGCTGACGGATCTCTCCTCTCCTATCAGATCGGTCTCAGAATTTAAACTTCTGCCAGCACCTCCACATTGGAAACATACACTCCTTCACAGACGTCCCCTTCATGACCTCATCCTCACTCCTCCTTTGGAGCTTAACTTTTTAAAATAACTACCTCTGCTGAAATACTTCCTGGATGTATCTGAGGACTGCTTAGGTGTGTAAGGTGGAACAGGAGGGGGATAAAACCGTGTCTTGGTTACTTTTTTCTCGTTGCTGGGACAAAAATACCTGACGCCCAAAATTAAGGAAGGAAAGGTTTATTTCGCTTACAGTTTGTGGAGGTTTCAGTCCATACTTGGCAGATTACGAGGCAGAGTGGCACATGGCAGAGGCTACAGCTCATGGCGGCAGAACACAGCAAAGCAACAAGCAGAAAAGCCAGGAATGGCCGCAAGCAGCCTCCTGCTCTCCCTTACATATGCAAACCATCCACCCCAGGGCGGGTGCAGCTCTCACACCCATAATCAATCAAACTCTAAAGCCTGCTCCATGGCCGCATGAGGCTTTTGGGGGACACCCAGACAAACCATAACAAAGTGTTACTGAAGCTGAGGGGGGGCGGGGGGCAGCTCA